GCATTGGAGCAAATGATGGAATAGTAAAAAAAATTACAGAACCCGGTTTTTTTTTTTTTAAACAAGATCAGAACACATAATAGTTCTTTTTGTAACAGACTCTCTACTCGAACCCTCACAATCGCAGGCACAGCGTGGCAGCGGCTCCGCTTCCTCCACGGGTGCCGTGTCTTCTCATCGCACTCGATGGGTATCGCAGAAATGCGGTGGAAGCTTGGAGCGCGCAATCTGCGAGTTAGGGAACCCTTTAATTATTTACAGTAGCTGGGCCACCTAATTCATTCCCAATGCGGTCTTGACCGTCGATATTAGAGAGGAGTCATTACGAACAGTCAAGTCTAAAAAACAAAAGCAAACAGACAAGAACAGTCAATACCAACCAAAAAAGAAAAGTGGTCGACAAAAAATATGGTGTCCTATCGACGGGCGATGAGGCGCGCTAAGTTCAGTAATTGCAGTTTGAAGCTGCGAAACAACTAGTAAGATCTGTCATATGCGGCAAAGCGAACGTGGGGAATTGAGGAAATAATCCGTCATCCCTCCTCCACAGCGTAGAACACGATGGACATGTAAACGGGTACGCGAGCCGAGAGTTGATTAGGAAAGAGAAACTCGAATTGATAACCGGAGAGAGAGTAGGGAAATGAGGGATAAATATGTGTAGCGCCAAAAATTGCTGATGGCTGACCAATAAATGTATCACGAAAGTAGTAATGGTCTAATGTGATATCACAGGAAATCCAGGCTTTTTCGATATTAAAAGCGTTTTGTTTATATTAGTGAGAACAACAAGAAACTGCAGGAACAACGAATCCATTAAAACCAACAGGTTGTATTATGTTCGTAAGCCCTTATAAATGTCATCTCTTCCGTACTTCCGTTCACGACTATCCTCTGCAAGTGAGTTGTCTATTGAAGAGGGAGTAGAGAAAACGACAAAAACGCCGAGTCGTTGCACCCGCGGTCGGCTGCTTTCATAGTCCACGATTTGGCGAGCGACCGGTCACGGACCTATCGAGCGAGCGACCGAGCGACTAGTCACGCGATCGGTCGCTCGCCAAATTGTGGACTATGGAAGCAGCCGTTGACAACGTTGTATGCTCCACGTCTCTGCCTTCTGAGTGGGCCACCCTAGCACAGAAAAGCTCCACACGAGTTCTTCATGTCGTTTCGATCGAAAGTATGGCTTGTTCAAGTGAACACTTCACCCTCGGGTCAATAGAACCCATTCATGATTCCAACATAAGAGCAATTAACATCCCCAATTCCCATTATCAACTTTCACGCATGATTGCAACATCTTAAATAATTGTCGCCAGGAAACGTAACATTAGTGAAATTAATCTGGAAATACCAACACATTATGTAGGTAGTTTGCGGGAGTAAAGGACCCGTGCCTTAGCACTTCGAGAAAGTTCTCTCTTTTTCCGGCACCAACCGAACATACCATGCCAGTATTTCTTTCACATTTCTGCACCAGCTGCTGTCAAGCAATATAGGAAAGCACGACTTATTGTTAGATTCAACATAGGATCAGTATCGTCAAATTTCCTGACCAGTTGGACCTCGTCCACCTCGCTGCTAGATATGCTTTTCTCGACTACACGTAGATGAGCTCGACTCTCGGTGATAAGACGACGAAGAGAATCCTAAAAAAATATCATGAAGTTAATTGGAATTGATTGGGGGTCTTATTGAACCTATACCCAGGAATCAAGATGCTCAGAGAAATCCTCGTCGAGTTCTAGTAGTCCTTCGTGAATAGCTGGAGTAGATGGAGCAGCCGGCACGGTCATCGAGTCGTCCTTGGCGGGAGGCTAACAACATTAAATTTGAATCGAAACAGGTCTTACAATGAAGCTGAATGGAATTCCGATGGTAAGAATAAAACGTCCACAAAAGCCTGGTATTTAACTGAAGTTTCAGAAGCTCCCTTTCAAGGGAACTCATAGAAAAAACTTAGCAACTTTTTTTGAAAAGATGAAAATGTTAACATTGGAAGCGGCAGTTTACGATTATATGAATTATGAGTTGAAAAAATGTGCAGCTTAACATAGTGTCGTGATCGATTGCAGGGGTGTTAGGATTTCCTCTCTAGAGACTCACAGTCTAGGGCTGAAATCGGGTTTAATGGAGCAACGTAGGGGACACAACAATATCTTCTGAAAAGCAATTCCTGTCTGATGCAATGAATTAATTGGGACTCTTCTGAGAAATTCATAGGTAGTCAGTGGTTGTTGCGTTTATGTGACTCAAAGATATCAACAACAAATCCAAATTTGGTAATCACTATTCAAAATTTTGAATTCTTCTCGAACGAAATGTGAAGAAAAGTGAAAACGCAACGATATACCGGCAAAAGGGGTTTAGACTGGAACAATCGGAAAAATAAGGTGATTGGTTTTAAAATTGATTTCGTCAAGAATCAATTTGTTTTACAACCGAAACCATACACAAACGCTGCGAGAGACAGATGGTTAATTGTCCGTTGCCATAGCAGCATTGTGATCCGAACCGAACTCAATAAACGGTTCGAACAAGCCCTTCTCTCTTGGTAGTCTCCACCTGCTAAGCAGTAGAGGATCATTGCTAGCATTGATATGTATCGGGAAATCAATTGTGTATGGTGTAAGATCTAGTGGTGTAAACATATGTAAAGCGAGTTACTACCGAGCCTAGCACTGGAAACTCAATAACATCAACAGTGAAGTCAGTTCCCAGTAACACTCCCCAACTTCCAACAGCACAGAAAAAAGGCAAACATCGGCATAAGACATCTTCCTTATCACAAGAACAAAGAAGACAACAAGAAGTCTCACTCGCTACTGACAGTTGCCTGTGGCGACAGCGGATTTTTAAATCCGCCTGAGCTGAAGAACCTCGGTGAGTTATGTTTCGAATTATGGGTTCTAAATTCTTCGTCACATTCGCCAGAGGGTAATGCTCTTTTTAGATACTGTGAAAAAATCTCGAACTGCTTTAGGCATCTGAAGAAGACGATAGCGTCGAAAAGTTATGCCGTGAATTGTTTCATCTAACAAGCTCGCATGGCACAAGAATATTTCAATCATAAACAACTATGCCGAGTGGAAAGCAAGGGAGATGTTGGAGACAACACCTCCGTGGGAGACAACTGCAGGCGGTTAAATGCCTTTCAATTACGAATCTTCAATTGTCATGGTAATAAAAGCCTGTTTTGTTATGGGGCAAGTTGGATTGAAGATAGTTTGCTTCAAAATAGCGCTTACGTTATAGTCGTCCCATTCATAGACCTGAGTGTCCGACTGCTCAGGCGTTATGTCGCTCTCCGAGTTTGTCAACAGGTCTAACTCAAGCTTCTGAAGAAGTCTTGTCGACCGCGCCAAAGGTGTTGACGGAGGTGAACGGAGAATTTTCGGCACAAACGCTCCTTGAAACATAGAACGGACATGTAAGAATCGTTTGCAAAAGGTTGGGGCAGGTCCAATCTAAGTTGTCAATTCATTTGACCGTTACTATCAGAAGGGGAATAAAACTTACCAGATTTGAGAATTAATTGTTCTCCATCACTCATACTGCGAGGCAGACGTCTGACCCTCAACCGTTTTCTGTTTCGACATTGTCCTTGAGCTAATTCAGACTTCGTTGAACAAAACGAAGCATCCAAAGGTGCAGAGTCTAGCTACAATAATAAACGAGAAAATTATAATTGTTGAACGAGGGCAATAAGTAAAACACCAACCAGAGAACTAGATGATTTAGGATCAATTCTTGCGCCTGGCAATGAACCGCAGCCACTGAAGTCATTGAACGACCTGAAAAAAAATTAGGGTATTTTCTAATCGTTAATCCAACGCTTTTATAATCCATAGGAAGTTGTATATTTATCCTGAGTAATCCGAAGTTGAGGTGACATGGACTGTTGAATCGGTTGGGTTCAGTCACTTCACCGCGCTCTATCAGTTTGACTGCAGATGATTTATTTCATATTGGAAAGCACGGATGATTAGCGTTAGGTCGATGTGGGACCTTCGGCACCATTACAAGTAGACATTGGGTAAGAAATCAGGTAAGAAATAGAAGAACCCCTCAGAAATGAGTTCGAACAAGTGGCTTTACTTCTTAGAGAACCTAAAAAGGTTTCTTCGCATGTTAGTTAAACTCAAATCTACAATCTGCCTCCCGCCAAATATAAGTGATGTCTACTGATTGGAGTGCACCACATCTGTCTTTGTGGGTGCATGGGAAGCTCAGATTAGAGAAAAAGGAGAAAGATTTTCAGCAGAGCGATTTCAGGAACTCACGTCATTAGAGACTGCGATCAGAAAGATTGGTGAGTTATGGGGTAAAACTTAAACCTCACACGAAAGAACTTCCGTGACCCCGCTTGACTACGATTTCTTAAAAGCACGGTTAACGATAAAACGAGTTTCTGAGTTTCCCCCACAGGATGAGTTTGAGGCCCCNGCGTATACCATATCTGGCACTACTAGTTCGGAAAACGGGCTAGTTAGGGAGTTATAAAGGTTCTAAGATTGTCCCGTGTGTATCTTCGGACGAGTTTCACCGGCATAGTAAAGCCTGCTCCGAACGCAAGGGAACCCAAGTAGGGAGTTTAAACAACTTCTCATGACCCAGCGACAGTGAAAAGCAATTCTGTACAGTTCAGGCTTGATGTCGTCAGCTCTTTGCGCAGCTGCAATAACTGAAATCTCGTCCGAATATCCCTTCCATTTTATTTCCGTCATGACAATCTCGTCCGACTTCTATTTTCCCCACTTTTGAGGAGCCAAATTTTCCTCGAATTCTATCGCTTTATTTACTACCGATGAACTATTCCCAATATATACTTCCGCTTTTCGAATAAAACGGGTGCATCAAAATTATCGTGAGCTGTGCCTTTAATGGTTTTGATTGAAACGTTCACGGATTATGTCGAATTAATGACTTTAACCCATTGATTCCACTTGTTTTAGGACATTTCAGTTAAATTTGTAGAGCTCACTTGTTCATAAGGCGGTCGTCGCGTGTTTCCCAATCCGAAGACTCTTCGGACGACGCATCACATGAGTGCTATAAAACAGTTTTTCATTTAAGCCATTTCTAGAATTATGTACGGACACTTTCGAATAGAACAACAACTGGCTTGGAAGATACCACGCTAAGAATACTGCACATCAAAAAAGACTCAGATCATCAAAAGCAATTCGCAGCCTACAACTGTATTACTCACTTACTCAAAAAATATCATGACATCTTGAAGTACTGTCTGATTTGATGAGAACAGCCTTATTTAGATGATTCCGAGAATGATATAACTAAACGAACCAGTAAGTCGATACTTTACGACTCCAGATGAAAATTAATTCTTGCAAAACATGTCTTACTGAACTCTGTCGTATAAATCGAACCCGTCAACAAACACAGTGTTTCCAAATATAAACTGTTTATATCCGAGTTATAAGATACAAAAAGCGAACCTCTCTGTCCAACTACGATTTCGCCTTATGCCGTTTGAAGTAACTTGATTAGGTAGGTATTTGGGTCCCAAAGCGAGTCCAAAAAGTTAAGAAAGCTCTCATAATAATCCCCCTCGACCTTTTCTTTGCTAGACTCCTGACTTTAGAAACACACTACCATACCCATGTTCATTCATTAATAGACTCCCACACGTTCAATCCAAATACCGGCTTGACCTACGAATTTCCACCTGATTTATTCTACTATGGGTACGTGTTACCTCGTGCGTCCGAAGATGCGCGTGGTACATTGCGCGGCGAAGTACGTATTGGTTTGAACGACTTTAGCGCTTACCATTGGGGTCCAAATATGAAGGGAATTAGATTAGAAGGATCATCTGACCCTACTAAACTACTCTACTTCGAGTTTGTGCCCCGAAAATTGGCGGCAGAATCAAACAAATCGCCACGAAGTCCGCCGCGCAATTAGCCGCGAGCGTCCTCACACGCACGAAGTGACCGTCCTCCATCCTACTATACATAACTTGTTAAATCGTGTGTGAATGTGTGCATATGTATATGTGTGTATGTGTATGTGTATGTATATGTGCATGTATGTGTATGTACATGTGTATTTGTGTATGTGTGTGTTTGTCCGAGCGGAAATTCGTTCAGATGATAGGCCGCAGGACTATGATAGGCGCCCACAGGAGGCGAAGCGTGCGCGTAAATTGCCAATACGAAGCTAGAGCGCTTGAATTCGGTAGCTGTAGAGGAGGCAGGATGGGTACAATGGCGGTAGGAGAGGCCTTAGAGAGCAAAAACCACTCACCAGTTAAATCCTAATGCCTTTTTTATTTACGATCAAACTTCGACCTTTGAAGGTTCCATTCGATAAAACGTGTCAGTGCAGTGATGGCAATCGATCAAAGGCACCCCATTGCGAGGAGTTGAAATGTCGGTTCATTTCTTGCTATTAGATGACGATCGCTACCCAGCAAACCTGTGACTCACCGTAGGATCACGATTTCCCTTTGCTCCATATCATTTTTGGCAAAACCTATCCGACCCCTAATAGTCTTGGATTTTTATCTAAAAAAAATATCCGTAGATAAAAAAAGCGTTAATAAAGACATTTGATAATGGTGTTATTATGACTCGACAACATTTGTGAGAACCATGGAATGCTTTGGTTGCCTACCAGTTGTACCTTCAATGCATTGTTTTCAAGATGAACAGCAACAGATCGAGGGTTCCCGTCATTGGCAACATCATTGGCACATTTTTTGAACTATTTGCTCGCCCTGTTAGTCCTCTGTCAATTTCCGTGTTCCGAAAGTATCATTTGTTCCAAATAAGGAGCGACCAGTTTGCCTATTATTACGAGTCTGTCATAAAGAGGGAAGCCCGGCGTTAGTCACTCGACCCGACTGGTTTTCAGATACGACAAGAGTAGGGCCGTGGTGGAACTAAGGGCAATCTGAGATTAAAGCTAGAAACTTGTACATACTCCACTGAATAAACTGACCTTTGCCTCTTCGTTGTCGTTCCGAATTCGTCGCCTTCGGATCTTCTCCGACTGACCGCCGATTTCGCGCCATTTTGTGTTGAAAGAGTCCGAAATGTGCTCATGCGCCCCAGTGGTGCTATCATTGAGCAATGCCATTACCTCGTCTAAAAAGTTTAAAGATGTAGAAAACATAGTCAGACGGTCTCGTGGAACTGTTCGTAATAATTGAGATGATTTGGCTGCAACTTGAGAACGATTTTTTCGCCCTTATTTAGTGAGTGAGGACTCCCCAATAGTATTGCCAGCCTTGTAGAATGAAGGGAATGAAATTGCTGCCATAGGCAGTAGTTATAACATCGGTGATAACAGATGCCTCGAATACTCAGGCAGTGAAGTTATAAAGGTTGAATCTCAGAATTCATTCAACGGAGGGAAAGGCGACTGAACAAAGGAGCCAAAGCATGCGCGACTATGCAACAAAGCTTGCAGCTGAATCATTCGCCAAGACTGAATCGAATTGCATCATATGGTCTGCAGAAGTGCTGAACGAAAGGAGCCCTATAGTGGTCGCGAGAGAAATAGCTCTATAAATACGCCATAGGGGACGTTTTGCAAGGAAAATACTTCTTCAGGGAAAAATATAGAATACTTCATAAGGTTTTTAGAAATCAGGTGCAGAATTTTTGATCTATAATATGATGTTGATACTATGTTATCTTAACCTTATGCTTAACCTGATCACAAATCATTACAGGACTCGGGTGTGCTTGCTCAACCAGTGCCTTCAAGATAGCGTGTTCGAAAAATATAAGCAGCGCTGTGAAGGTTTTTTGTATTGGCTGAAATAACGTACGTACAAAAAGACTCACCCATGGGGCAGACAGTGATTATTGGAACATAGCAGAAAGCCTTGGAAAGGGACTGTTTCCTTATTTGTTGGCGTTCTACTCTATTGATTACAGTGTTTTTATACTGCTTTCTCACGCATACCTTTAGCGAACCTAACGAACTCGTACTTATTTTCTATAACTATATCCGGCGGGCTTTCCGATTATACTTCCTTACTATTCCCTACTTCGTCGGATACGGATAATAAAGTTGGGTTCCAGCGCCATGACTGCTAGGGTATCTTGTATCCGCAAAGCACCACTGTTATCAAATGTTAGTAAGTAAAATCATTCTCCAACTGCGACCACGCTCAACGGATAAATGTAAGCGAATTAAGGAATGGCATACCGTATTCGGGGGAATTTCCATTCAGAACATCGCAATTCACGAGCATCGAATCTGTCAATGGGTCACGATTGATGTTGGTGAGGGCTTCATGATTGAGCTAAAACAAAGCCTTCAACCTTTTTCAGATTCTTCTATGAAATTTTGTAGCCTCATCTTATAACAGTAAATTGATATGTCAAGAATGTTTCATGGCAATGGAATGTTGACTTTAATTAGCATTATCGATCTATAATATATTCGCTGGGTTCAGCCGGATGGACTGTAACGGGCTGAGAGGGTGGAGACCAGATGAAAACTGCTATTTATTCATTTTCGTAAATTATAGATTTAAAAGACGCTCACTATGGGCTCGAACACAACCACATGAGGATTAGCACAATCCAGTTCACAAAGAAAGTCTAAGGCAAAGTCAATCACTAGCCATTCCTCTTTCCTATCACCCCTCATTTGAAATTGCTCGGAAAATTGATTCTGAAGCTCGCGAATGCTTATAGATGGGGACATTAGATAGATAGCTTTCGTCCAAACCATGCAGTTGAATTTCTCTTTTTTTCAGTCAATTCACGACTTAGCGGTGGAATTCTGGCTATTTCGCAGGTGGATCGTTGGTGATTCGTGACTGGGACTGGTAACAAATAACCGGAAAACTGGCCATAGAAGACAACAGTAATTATAGACAGTGCCTTCGTTTTAACAGTGGAATCCTGGCACATTGAAAGGTCGTGCACGGCGTAAACGACCCGCTGAAGTTTGGTAACAAAGGCTGATGATAGCTGATAAGGGAGGTTGATAAGGAGCTACAGAAAGCCAGAGTCATTGAGTAAGTGGCCCTACGTATTAGAAATCAAACCTTGGCCCATTGGAAAGCAATATAGGATCCGCCAAACGTGGATGATTGATGATAAAGATTATTGCAACTGATAAGAGGTTATAAATAGCACTAGATCATTTCCTCTTTTCGTTTGACAAAAGGAAATTGCATATGTTAAAGTGAAATATACTGTAGCAGTTGAAAGTCTTGGGTTGTACGCTTTTCCAATCGTAACTTTTTTCTATTTTTCTAGTAAAGGGATTCAAGAAAAATTTTGATAGGGTGAACCTCGAATCAGGCCAATTTATACTTGTTGGCTTCAAACAAGGATCACGTGGTTACGTGCAAAGGTTTTACTAATGAAGCAGTTTTTCTTGACTACATAGTCAGCTGTATATGCATTTTTTACAATTATGGACTAAGGCATGCATAGAAGGGCAGAAGGCACTTAAAGAAATGGGCAGGCTGCACTAGGCATGAAGAAATCGGGCATGAAAGTCACGGCAATTTCGCAAATTCTGGAAATTTCAAAGTAGTTGGTTACCTACCAAGTCAGCAACAATGCTGAGAGAACAGGAAGACCTTGAGGTACTTCATCAGCCTAGGACAGACGGATCATACGTCGGTTGAAGACTGACCTTCGCCTAACTGCAGCTGACATTTCCGCTGAACTCAGCGCTAGCCATGGCCCTATTTTCATTCGGAGGACTGTATGAAATCGCTCAAACAGTGCTGATGTTTATGGAAAGCGTCCACCCGAAAAGAGTACTCTTTCAAAAAGTTGCGGTCAGAAATGAAGGATTCGTTCCGAGAAGAAGAATGAAGACTGATGTTTCTATCATTATAGATAAACACTGAGACCTGATATTAACGCAGAGAATTATCACCCAAATGAAAGCAGGATCATCACAGAGAATGCGTGGTGAAACTCAGTACTAGGTAAACTATCTAATATTTGAGGCAAGATCACTCGAAAAACTTTAAATGCTGGTAAAACTGCGATCCTTCCCAGGACGATTTTGTATTTTTTTTTTTTTGCTTTTTTTGTTAACATTTAAATAGGATTCAAAATGCGTCAAAATTTGACAATTGAAACAACAATGATGACAATGAAATCATCTACCTCATCACATAAAACATCCGTCTGGATAATTGCCGACGCTTTCCTCTCAGGACGTCTTCGCATCATTGAGTCCTCGGCACTGAAAATGAGCCGTAAATCAACAGTGAGCTGTGAAACGCGGGAAAATCAAAGAGCGTCGAAAACAGTGGAGCTATTCAACCGTAGTTCGAGGCGCTGGGAAAAAGCGGAATTCCGTGGAAATCTTGTGTCTAACGCTTCATGTTTGTCATTTTCATAGAAAAAAAAAACTTTAACCGGGTTCCTGGGAAAACAGAAAACTACAGGACAGCGATCTTTACATGACTGCTGTACCCGTGACGAGCCTTACAACTACAACATACATACTGATTAGAGCAAGACCCAGGTTGATAGCATTACCATTATTAGACCATGAATAATAAGTAGTAAGTGAACGATGAAAACAAGTTTTTGTCGAAGCAGTAAAACTATAAACCTACTACCATATGGCACGAAACAGGAGCTGTCACTCAGGAAACGAAATCTTCAGCTAATGTGAAGCTTGCTATCAGGGACGGGAACAATAACCGAGATTCAGAGGTCTACCAACTCATAGAAACCCTTTATAACGCACTTATTCGTTGGTACGGGCTACTAAAAACTTCAATAAAAAAACAGCATCTTAACCTGGACTTTCTTCTAATTTTGCTAGTTTACAAGTTTTCAGTGTCCAAAAGATATTGTTCCACAACATGGTGTAAAGTCCTCGTTAACTATGACATAAATGGGATAATTTCGCCAAACGGGATATTCAATCTACAAGAAAATAGACCAAAAATATTTATTCAATTAAACAAAACTTTAGCTTTTGAACGTAGGTGTAACAGGTGCTCTATCACTTTTCCTAACTAATCCGCCATTAGGCTGTTTGATAAGAAAGTCATTTCTTCTAAACTTCGTTTTCTGACGAAATTTTCATCCTACATGTTGGGGCATCTGTGATCTCTATTAGTAGAGTAGTTGATCTTATATAGTACTGATCTGCCCGGTTTGACCAGGAGATCTGGCGGGCCGGAGCAGTATATAAACTGTAACTTTGTTGTACATTTATCATTCATGGCTTCTAATAAACCTTCCTGCTCTTCCCGACCTTCCAAGGACACAACAACTGGCGATCAGGACAACGACTTCAAGGACTACGCCGCCATCGCTGGGATGCCAGAAAACCCTGCTATGAAGGACCTGCTGCAGATGATGGCAAAACAACAGAAGCTGCTCATTGACCTGCTCCAGAAAATGGCAACGTCCACAACTGCACCGCAAGAGACGCTGTTCGACCGG